TCCCCCCAGGGCTGCAGAACGCAGGGTGCTGCCAGCCCCCGCACAGGGCCCAGGGGCAGGGGATCCAGGTCTGGGGACTGCCCTGGTGTCACACAGATGTTGCCTGGTGGGAAAGACTCTCCCCCCAGGGCTGCAGAACGCAGGGTGCTGCCAGCCCCCGCACAGGGCCCAGGGGCAGGGGATCCAGGTCTGGGGACTGCCCTGGTGTCACACAGATGTTGCCTGGTGGGAAAGACTCACCCACCGCGTCCACATTGAGCTCCCGCCGGTACTTGGTCTGGTTGGTGGTGGCATTCAGGACGTGGAGGTGGAGCTGGGTGAAGAGCCGCACGTCAGAAGATGCAGACGTGCCGTGTCCCGCCAGCCCCGTGGTGCCACGTGGAAACTGTGCACGCTGTGGGCTTGTCCCTGAGGAACGGAGAGCAGGGTCCTGCAGCACCCCATGCCTCCTGGCCCGGGCCAGGCTGGAGGAGAGGGAACCTGGGGCATGGCACTGAGACCTTGGTGTCACCAGCTTCTTCCCTGTGCCCCCATGCACTGCAGGGCACCGTCCCCATGGGACTGAGGGACAGCCGGGGTCCCAGCCCTGCTGGAGTTGTGTGGTGGGTAGCTCCTGTGGGCTCTCCAGCATCTCTCCATGCAGCTGGGAGCCACCCGGCCAGCACAGGGAGCTGCAGCACCCTGACTCTGCTGCTCCTTGTGCAGGCAAAGGGGAGGCTGGGTTGTGTCCTCTGTGTCCTACCTGCTGTACCAGTAGTAGAAGTGGCACATCCCGCTTGCTGCCTCCTCCTCCTCCTCATCCCAGAAGCAGGTGAGGTCCTCAAAGGAGCGGGAGAAGCAGAGGATGTCCTCGGGCACCTCTGCCAGCAGCGCAGCGTCTGGGAGGAGCATGGGCGTGAAGGAGCCCCAGGGCACAAACCAGTCCCCATTGCCACCTGTGTCCCCTTGCCCCATGCCCCCTGGCCAGCTCACCCCTGAGGCCACTCTGTGCAGGCACCTGGGCCAGCGTGGGCATGGCCGTGGCTGTGGCACTGCATGGAGGGACATGGCAGGGCTCCCCATCAGCCGGCCCCACTGCTCCCCCCTCCTCAGCACGCGGGGTCCTTTGGGACAAACAAACATCCCAAAATAGCCCTGTGGTCGGAGGGGGGGCTCTGGGCCCCGGCCCCGGCGATTGGGGGAGAGCACCCCTGCCCTGCTTACGCCGGAAGGTGCGTGGAAGTGAGATAAGGAGGAACAGTGCCCTGGGGAGAGAGAAAGGGACTTGGGGCTGGCGTGGGGGTGTGTGGTCCTGAGCAGGGTGGGGGGAATGCTCAAACCCCGGCCCAGGGACTGCTTGGGGGGCTGTGGGTTTCTCTGCCCCACTCAGCAAGCTGCTTTCCCTTTCCTTGCAGGGATGAGCTGGGATGAACTGGAACATCACACCTCGAAAGATCTCCATCCCAAGCACTGGTGGCTTTGCTGGCCCATGGAGGCCTGCCACTGGTGGCAGGGAAAAGGGTCCCAAGATGCAGATGTGTGAAGCACAGGGGTGGCCTCGCTGCCCCTAGCATTGCTCCAGCACACCCTTCTTCCCCCGCTGCCTCTGCTTTGGGACCTGCTCCAGCCCTTCTCCTCCTCCTCCTCTTCCTCCTTGGGATGTGTTCCTTTCCCCAGGAGGTGCAGGACCCCATGACCTCTGCCAGCATCTGGCCCTGCCCCATGTGCTGAGTGCATCCATCCTTTGGTACAACCTGCTGTGCTGCCAGCTGAGCCTGCCTGGCCAAAGAATAAGGGACAGTCCCCAAATGTCCTTTCCACCTTCTTGGTGTCCCCTTGCTCTCCATGTCCCTTCCCTTGCCCTGATCCCCAGCCTTGTTCCTCCTTTCCCAGCCCACGTCCCACCCTGCAGACCGCAGACCTCCCCCACTTACTCTTCCTTTTTTGCACCCCATTGCCCCCAGCCCGGACCTTGTGCCAGCTCTGTCACCCCCAGCTCCCAGTGCCAGAGGATGCGGTGGCCAGGTCCCAGCAGCCTGGTGGCATGGGGACCCTCATCAGCCGTGCTCAGGCAGCGCGCAGCCAAGCCAGTGGTGGGCTTGAGGCTGTGGGCCAGTGCAGGAGCATCGGGATTAGCCCAGCAGTGCCACAGCATTATCTGTGGTGCAGAGCTGTGCCCTCAGACATTAGCTTGAATTTTGTTCCGATCCTTTTAACGAGCTTTCGATGAGCGGAGAGCCCCTGTGCTACCTGCATGGGGCTGGGAGCCGCAGGCTGCCATCCCAAAGGGGTCCCTGAGGGCGGCCACGTCCTGTCCGCAGAGAGCAGGGATGTTCCTTTGCTCCAGACACCCCAGGGTTTCCCATGGGTGAGAAGGGGGCTCCATTGCCCACTCTGAACACTCCTCACATGCCCTCCTGGGATGCCCCCTCCCCAACCCTGCAAGGTTTTGGCTGCCTTAGGGTGCTCACTGCCCGCACTTGACACGCCTGCTCCTCTCTGGCCCATCCTTTGGGGTTGAAAATGTCCCAGAGGACTTACCTTGGGATGTCACTGGCTCG